AGTAAGTTAAAATGAGGCCTTAAGGTGAGTCCTAATTCAATATGACTGGTGTCCTTATCAGGAGAGGTGATTTGGACACAGACATGTTCAGAGGGAAGACCATGTGAAGACACAGGAAGAAGGCAGCTATCTATGAGCTGGGACAGAGATTCCCTTGATCTGAGACTTCCAGCCTCCAGAACTGTGAGAAAGTGAACTTCTGTTGTTTAAGCCATCTGGTCTGTGGTACCTTTCTTTTTTTTTTTTTTTTTGTCAGCCCTGGCAGATTCATCCAGGCATCTACGGACTAGAACTGGGAGAGACACTTGCAGAGACCAGCTGCTGCCTTCATCTGTCTGAGCCAGCCTGGCCTTCTAGCTGTGGCTGATGTGTTTCTCTCTACATTGGGTCCATTTGCCTTGGCTGCTCACTGGCTCCTCTTCCATATTTCCCAATTCGAAGTAACTGAAATTAATTGGCTTGGTTAGCATCTGTCGTTACCATTGGGTGAGACCTTTGCACTGACCCACCTCATAGGGTTTCTGAGCAGCAATGCATAAGATACCTTTGGGTCATATGGCCACATCTGGTTCCACCAGTGGCTGCCATGTGTCAGGGACAGCTCCATGATGGTTCCTTGTGTAGAACATGGTGGGGGCACTCAGCTTCAGTATGAAAATGATAACAGACACGACTGGTGTTTGACAAGTCCAGTATTGGGTCCTCTGAGCCAGTGGCATTGCTAATTACATGAAAGCATCAATTCCAACACACTCTGCTCAGATTTGGCTTCAGTTTTTAACTGTGCAGCCAATTCCTCATTCTACTTACTCACAAGGTCGTGCTCTTGACCTTGAGTTTTGTGAGATCCCCCAAAATTCTTATCCTAGCCACTTGGCTGGCTGGAGTTAGTTTGATGTGAGTTGATGTTACTTTGAAACAAAAAAGTCTTAAATAAAATAGTTTCCAAAGAAAACAGCAATTTGGTCCAGGAAAGAGGGATCTGCTTATGAGTAAACATGAGTGTTACAGATTATTTACAGATTATTCCTGACAATGCCATCAACTGTATGACTGTCTGCAGGTAGTCAACTCTTCATCTAAATGAAATGGAAGGAATAATGAACAGTGTTTTCCACATCCCAGGAAGGCTGCCAGCGGGTCTGCAGAAGGGCTCTCATGAGGTCTTCCACTCCTTTCTCAGGCAGGAATTCTTTTCTTCTAGTTCCTTGATCCCCAAAAAGAAAAATTATTTCAAGTTTCCTGAATTGATCAATCGATTAATTAATTTTTTTACTGCTCCACTGACTTTCCTTTCTTTACTTTCTTTTTTCTTTACTCACTTCCTGATACCTCAGAGACAGAGGCATCTCTTACTACAGGATTTAAGTGGGTGCGGGATTTCTGTTTCATGATCTCTGGCAGAGATACCATGCATCCGACGGTTTAATTCATTTCTGTCATTGGCCATTTCCCCTTTGGGGGAGTTTGTGGGTAGTACATGGCGTTGGTTTGGGGTGGAACGTGAGCTTGTAGGGTATTTTGGCTTTCAGCCTGCTCTGCTGCCCAGTGACCCATCCAGCAGAATGTTTGCCCAGTGGGATTTCACAAGTACCACAGAACAGTGACTGCTTCCCCTTTTGGCACAGGATGTTGATTTTTGTTAACCTATCTCTGTTCCACTCTTGTATGTTTAGTGGGGGTGCTGTTAGCAAATACTCTGTCTCCTTTTCTCACCTATGTTAGGAGTATCACAATCTCTCCATTGATGTTGGGGCTGGTCATGGAGTTGTTCTGGCCAATGAACGTGAGCAGAGGCTTTGAATGTGCCTGCACACTTTGCACTGACCTTTTAGTCTTTTGTGTTCCTTTCTACTCTACCACTAAGAGGAGTTTGCCCCAGGTAGCCACTGTTCCTCCAATGTAGATCCCAAAATGAGACTCTCATGGGACAGACCTGCGCCTCACCCACAGCACAGAGCAGGGCTACTGTAGCTGACCAGCCAACCTGTGGGCAAGAAGTCAATGTTTGGGTACTGCAAACCACTGAGAATTATTATTTTGTTTTTGAGACAGGGTCTCACTCTGTTGTCCAGGCTCACAGCTCACAGCTCACAGCTCACTGCAGCCTTGAACACCTGGGTTCAAACAATCCTTCAGCCTCAGTCTTCCAAGTAGCTGAGACTATAGGCATGTGCCACCACACCCAGTTAAACCCAGAAATTTTGTTATCACAACAAAATTGATTAATACAGCTGGTAAAGTTTCCCAAGGAAGAGAGGAATTGTTCTATTAGGGATTTGAAAGCAAGGAAGTGGGTGGGAAAGAAAGTTGGAGGCCTTTTTTGGATAAGAAGGCACTTTATAACCAAAAGTCAGATTAAAGTATTCCCAACACCATACCCCTGAGAAATGCTAGAAATGTTTCCAAATGACTAGAGTCCAATAAAGTGCAGTGTTTTGTATTAAACTTTAGTAATTAGTGACACTATTAAAACTCAGGCAATGATATGCAGAAAATGGAATCTGGGCCCCTTCCTTACACTATATGCAAAAATTAACTCAAGATGGATTACAGATTTAAAAACTACAAAAACCCCAGAAGAAAATCTAGGCAACACTATTCAGGACATAGGCATGGGCAAAGATTTCACGATGAAAATGCCAAAGCAATTGCATCCAAAGCAAAAATTGACAAATGGGATCTAAATAGACTAAAGAGCTTCTGCACAGCAAAAGAAGTTATCATTAAAGTAAACAGACAACCTACAGAGTGGGAGAAAATATTTGTAATCTATCCATCTGACAAAGGTCTGAAATCCTGGACCTATAAGGAATTTAAACAAATTTACAAGAAGAAAGAGCCCCATTAAAAAGTGGGCAAAGTACATGAACAGACACATCTCGAAGGAAGACATACATATGACCAAAAAACATATGAAAAAAAGTTCAACATCACTGTTCATTAGGTAAATGCAGATCAAACCCACAAAGAGTACCATTTTATGACAGTCAGAAAAGTGATTATTACAGATTCAAGAAACAGGTGATGGTGAGGTTGCAGAGAAAAAGGAATGCTTTTACATTGTTGGTGGGAGTGTAAATTAGTTCAACCATTGTGGAAGGCAGTGTGGCAATTCCCCAAAGACCTAGAGGCAGAACTATCATTTGACCCAGCAATCGCATTACTGGTTATCTATCCAAAAGAATAAAAATCATTCTATTATAAGGATGCATGCATGCATATGTTCATTGCAGCACTATTCACAATAGTAAAGACATGGAATCAACCTAAATGCCCATCAATGATAATCTGAATAAAGAAAATGTTGTACATATACACAATGGAATACTATGCAGCCATAAAAAGGAACTAGATTATGTCCTTTGCATGTACATGGATGAAGTTGGAAGCCATTATCTTCAGCAAAGTAACACAGGAACAGAAAACCAAACACTGTGTGTTTTCATTTATAAGTGGGAGGTGAATGATGAGAACACGTGGACACATGATGGGGAGCAACACACACTGGGGCCTGCTGATAGGGTAGGTGGGGATGGAAAGCATCAGGAAGAATAGCTAATGGATGTTGGGCTTAGTACCTGGGTGATGGGATTATCTGTGCAGCAAACCATCATGGCACATGTTTACCAACGTAACAAACCTGCGCATCCTGCACATGTACCCCTGAACTTAAAATAAAAGTTGAAGGAAAAAAAATCAAGGCAATAATTATAGTCCCAGTCCTGTAATAAAGAAATAGCTTGGGAATCAAATTGAGATATAGAATGCTAATAAATGTTAGAATCTTATGTTCTAGAGTGACCTATATTAGATCATTTTTATGCAGCATACACAAGCGTTAAGGACACACTTTCAAGTGTGTTTTTATTATAAATACCTTGAAGACAATTGTTAAAACGGACATGTGAGACAAAAATTAACTTTTATATTTATAGAACAACACTGAAAAGTTACTTGTTCATTTTTTGAACCATAAGTTTGCACCTGTTAAGATGAATATAGATAGAATTAAAACCCTTCATATAACAGCTATTAGAGTCTGCCAATAATAGATTAACTAATAATAACATTAATATTTATTTCACTCTGATAGAAACTACATATTTAATTTCATGTTAAGCAACATTTGATGAAGCAAAACACCAACATAACAAAATAATTCTGACTTACTCATGGAGTTCATTTTCATAGGAGTTGATCTACGTTCAATGACTGCAAACCACTTGAACAAGTTTTACTTGTGTTTCTAAGAGACATGTTTTAAAATAACATTTATTTTTTATTTTTTCCTGGCATTAACTGGGGACAATCTTGCCACAATTTTACTTTACAAAACTACAAGGAAGGAACACTCAATTTGATGTTCATGTGAAATATAATTACCCACTTTTCTTCCTTTACAACATGTACCCCAGAGACAGAATGGCAAGCCAGAGGTACATAATGCACTGCCTGTCATTAATAACAAGTACATGCTTTTGAAATGATTTCACAGTAACACTTATTCAAAATGCCCTTGATTTGCTTTTTTGACTATTTTATAAACACTATAGCCCTTCAACAAGTATTACCTGTTTCAAAGCAATAATATAAATAGGAATTTATTGAATTAAAAAGTTCACCAGGTATAATTATAAACATTATAAATTTTAACACGTACAAAGTGTCATCTCTGCCCATGACTCTCAAGGTGGTCAAGCTGGCAGGCTTATGGTGTCTAAGTCAGGATTGCAGAGAGATGGGAAATGTGGCTCTCCACCTTGCCCTAAAGAAGTATCACTCACCCTTCAAGCCTCCTCCCAAGGACCACATGTTAAATGAAGTCTTTCTTGTGTCTCCCGAAAAAACACGATCTCTTCCTTCTTTAAATCCATAGACCATCTATTTTTTTTCTATAATAAAGCTAATAAGAGTAAAAAATCACATTGCCTTGTCATTGAGAACTTCCACCGTGCATCAAGTATGCTAACGTCTGCGGTCAGTGTCTCCTTTCTTCCTTGCAGCACTCTTCCTAAGAAGGTATCACTCTTTCCTCTTTATAGATGAAAAAATTGGGCAAGGATTGGAATTCAGGCTGTAATTGCAAAAATACTAGTCTTAACAATGCTGTTTTCACACTTGATTGACAGTTGAGTTGTGTGTGACTTTTGTCTCCCCGCTCCGTGGGGTGGTTCTTCCAGCAGGTACTACTGTGTCCCTTTCTATCCTATGGGAGTGTTTGGTACAGTATGTGGCACAAATAAATTCTTTCTTTCTTTCTTTTTTGAGACAGGATTTTGCTCTGTTGCTCAGGCTGGAGTGCAGTGGGGCAATCATAGCTCATTGTAACCTCAAACTCCTGGGCTCAAGTGATCCTCCTTACCTCAGTCTTCCAAGTAGCTAGGACTACAGGTGCACACCACCAGGCTCAGATAATTTTTTTAAATTTTTGTAAACACACAGTGTCTCTGTGTTGTCTGGGCTGATCTCCAGCTCCTGGTCTTAAGGGATCCTCCTGCCTTGGCCACCCACAGTGCTGGGATTACAGGCCTGGCTCTGGTGTCTGGCCAATACTGTATTCCATATATTCCAAACAGCAGCCCCTTTTTCTACACTAAAGTGTCTCTTAAATTGGAACATATGTTCAATTGATGCCTTGATTTATATGGTAGACGTTTCTTGTTTTCTTTTCCTAAAAAGCTGTTATTAGCTCTTAGTTGTCTCCTAACCAATTTAATCTTAGAATCAAGGAGAAGTTATGGAAACAAGCAGGGTAGAGCTCACCCTAAACTGCTCAGAGAAAACATCAAGGTAGAGTTCTTTAGGTTTCTGAATGCTATCAGAATATTAAGCACAGGAGGAATTCAGAGGATAATCCATCTGAAAATGAAAGGGAAGGTGATCAAAGGTGGCTAAGTAAAAATAAGAAGCCAGTGATTTCAATGGAACGTGCAGATGACACCAAGATCTCGTGAGGAGAGGACACTTCCACATGCTTACTTTCCTGTGATTCCAACACGGAGGTGAGCCAGAAACACAGCTGGAAGGTAATTGGAGGGAACCCCGAGTCTGTCTGACTACATATACTCCAGTCTCAGACCCTAGTAACAGCATTATAATAAGAAAGGTTACATTAAAATGCTGCAAACAGTCTTTGAGGCAAGGACATGGCAGTCTGTCTTCTAGCTGTAGCTAGCAGAAGTCCTGGGAGAGTTTTGGGTAGTGATGCCATGAAGGGACCTGATTAAGTATAAAATGATAAACAAGCCTGTGTCCTTTTGTCTCCTCCTTGTCTTGTTTTGGACACTGGCTTTGTGGCTTGAAAGGAAATGTAGCAGATTGTTATTATTTTTTCCATTAGCTAAGCTTGGAATAGAAGAGAGAACTTCAAGCAGCTGTGTTGGGGAGAGGGGTTTGGGGTTCAGGGAGGTTTTGTATTTTTATAAATAGAAAAGACTCGAGAATGTTTTTATGCTGAGAAGAGAGAGCCAGAAAAGAGAGCGAGAGAGACAGACAGAGACAGAGAAACTGTGGTAGAAATTAGTTTAAAAGGATAATTAGTTTAAAAGAATACTACTCAAAAGTAGCAGTATTAAATGGGCATCAGGGCACGTAGAGAGATATTAGCCTTGGTCTGAAAGAGAATGCCTTTCCACTGAGCTGCAGGAAGGTGTTAAGAGTGGGTACAGATGTGGATGTATTTAAAGTAGGGTAGGGCTGGAATTGAAAAAGGGAATAGTTAGTGGCTTCTGAGATTTTTGCAGAGATGAGGCTCACTGCTAAGAATGAGAGGGACACAGATGAAAGGCTTCAAGAGATTGGTGAGAGTTTGCAACGAGTGTGCAGTGGACAATGGGAGAACTGCCCATGTTGAGGGCATAATTAAGATTGGAGACCGTCTTGATCCATTTATGCTACTCTAGTAAAGGACCACAGGCTGGGTCATTTATATATAACAGGATTTTGTTTCTCACAGTGCTAAAGGCAAGGAAGTCTAAGACAAAGGCACTGGCCTTGATGAGGGCTGCTCTCTGCTTCCAAGGTGGTGCCTTATTGTCACATCCTCTGGAAGGGTCAAACACTGTCCTCACATGGCAGAAAAGCAGAAGAGCAAAACGGCCTCAACTAGTTCCCTCCAGACCTTTTACAAGGCACTAATCCAGTCATGAGTGATCTGGTTTGGCTGTGTCTCCACCCAAATTTCACCTTGAATTGTAATCCCCGTAATCCCCATGTATGTGGGAGGGATCCAGTGGGAAGTGATTGGATCATGGAGGTGGTTTCCCTCATGCTGTTCTTGTGATAATGAGTGAGTCTCATGAGATTGATGGTTTGTAAGCATCTGGCATTTCCTTTACTTGCTCTCAGTCCGTTCTGCCACCCTGTGAAGAAGGTACCTGCTTTTCCTTTGTCTTCTGCTATGATTGTAAGTTTCCTGAGCATCCCCCTACAGCAATGTGAAACCCTGAATCAACTAAACCTCTTTCTTCATAAATTACCCAGTCTTGGGTATTTCTTCATAGCAGCATGAGGACAGACGCATACAATGAGTGACTTAGTTACTCTGCAAAAGGCCCCACCTCTCAATACCACCACAATGGAGATTAAGTTTCAACATAAGAAATCTGTAGAACTTTCAGACCACAGCATAGACCATTTGTATGTGGCATGATCTGTACAGCATTATGTGTTTTGTCAACTGTGACTACTTGGGGGTAAGGAAAAGGAGAAGAGATTTCTATCATGGATGGAAAAAGTCGAAAAGTTTTCTGAGACTGTGACTCAGTGGGAAAGTTAGACCAATATTAGCTGCAGTCTTTGGGAATGTAGGTCTTCACAGTGTGTCTCATGTTTGGTTAAAGCATTTCCAAAATATCAGACCGTTATGTCTGAATGGAGTCAGATAAATGTATCAGAAAGCCAAATATAACCTTTTTTTTTTTTTAGTTTCTAAAATGTGTGGGTTCTTGGTCCTATATATAACTTTCTCTTCTTCAGAGAAGAGCCACATAGAAAGGGCAGGCACTGGTCTTATAGGGATCACTTTATAGGATCTAAACTAGTACATCCTTTACACTTTACTTACGATACAGCATAAAATGTCTCTGCTAATGAACTTGAGCATTGTATTTCTTGGATCTGTGATCACTTATTATTTTAACCTTTCAAAGCCAATAATTTTAGAGCATTGAATTCAAATGACTTTTATTGGCCTGGAAATGTTTTATTGCAGTTTGGCTGACATTTTCTTCTAATAATGTCATTAGTACTCTTTAAAAATGAATTCTGTTGAGGTATATAGTACTACCTTTGTTTCGAGAAAATGTTATGATTTTGTGTATACATGAGGTGGGTCCCACAGCTACAAACATTAGCAATATGTTTCTGATTCAACGGAAAGATCTTTCTGATTCTACAGGCATGCTCTCATTTCTATTAAGCATAAGTCATTTGGTTGGCAAAAAGACCTGAATTTGGATGTAGTTTTTCAGGATTATGTTGAATTCTCAACATCTTTTAAGAAGGAGCCCAGCTTCAGAGTCAGTAGGCTTAATTAAACTCTCTAGCACTTACTCTGTTTATATTCCTTACCTACTTTGTAGGTTTAGCTCTGGTAGTTGTTGTTAGGCTGACACTGGTTTCCAGTAGGTCATTGAAATCAAATTAATGTAGGCTTCTGAAAAGTCAGACATCAATTGTGTTCATTCATTAAGATTTCCATATTTTAAATGGTACAGAATAAGGAAAAGTGATTCAGATTAGCCTTGAAGAATCCTGGATGGATAGACGTAGACTACAAGCATTTTAGCAGAACAATAACAATTATTTGTAGGAAAAATCCTAATTAAAGAACAAAAACCAAAAGCAAAATGAGAACAAAATTCCTTTCTGTACCAATCTTTTCTGAAGACATAAAGACTCAAGGTCCAAACTCCATTTCCTAGGCCTTTGGAAATGCCTTTAGAATCTCCTCAGTTTTCTGGTCCAAGTGCAGTAGTTCTCAAAATCTGGTCTCCCTCCTCAGGTCTAGGAACGTGTTAAAAATGTCAAGTCTTGAGCCTCACCCTAGGCATCCAAAACCAGGAGCTTGATGGACAGGACCTGCAATCTGTGTTTTAACAAGTCCTCCAGGCACTCTGTTGTTTTGCTGTAAAGTTTGGGAACTTCTGGCCTAGAACATTGTTCTCAAGCATTTGTGTACACCACAGCTCCTGGAGGAGCTTGACTTAACGCGAGTCTTTCACTCAGCCCCTGAAATTTGGAGGCAGTAAATGCAGGAAGCTGCGTTGAGAATCTGCAATAGATACATATGAAGTAGGTGATCCTGGTGCAGGTGGTCTGTAGAGCACAATTTGAAAAATCCTGCCTAGAAGTGGAATTTAAGTGTTGACAAAATTAGCATTTCGCCCTGCAAAATCCTCCTCCATAACGAGTAAAAACCTTTGAACTCTGACTTACAAATATCTATAACTTTCAGTTAGCCTGCAAAATGCCTGCTTCTGAAGAGGTGTGCAGGCTTCCCTCATCACTGCCATGGGGGCCTGAAGCCTCTGTGTGTTCCAGGTGTGAGGCTTTGCCTGTCCCTGCTATAGGTGTGCACCTGTGTCATCACAGGAACGTATGGTCAAGGGATGCAACGTGATCCACAGCTCCACAGAAAGTACAGTATTGAGTACGCTCAGCCAAGACAAAACACAAGGGAAGATGTCATTTTTATTCACCCTGAGATGATAGCTGGAGGAAGATTTCTTTGGGCAAAGAGGTCTTGATCCCTGCATGTCCTGCCAGGGGAATATCCTGTTCTAAGCAAGGTGACCTTTCAAACAACTTTTGAGAAGTACTGATTTAGTATGCAAAGTATGCATAAATATATCTAACTGTGATTTGAAATCAGACCACTGAATTTCTTTTTTCCATTGAACCTGTTATAGATCAGTGGTGAAAAAAGAGATTTTTAATGCAGAAAGGTGAAATTTGTGATGGCAAAGGGTATTAATTGTGATAGTCATATGTTTTCTTAAAGGTACTGGGACCAAATTAATGCATTAATAATGTTACTTTGTTTTGATTGTATTTGTTTTTATTGTTATCTAACATTTAAGGCAACTAATACTGTATTTCTACATATGTTAATGATTAAAAATTACCTTTAAATAATTTTATTTCAATAAAATATGTGAATTAATTTAAAGGAAGATGCTAAGTAAATATTAGTGCAGATGGCAATTTTCTGAAGATGCCACATGAATAATTAAAGTGTGGGAAACTGACTATTTTCATGAGTTCAGAATAATCCATTTTATCACTTTTCTAATGTTGAGCTTTTCATTTGTTTTCTGTTATAAATAATGATTTAAAAAACCTCTGGTAGCTAAATATTTTTCATATCCATAATGGTTCTCTTAGGAAAATTCACAGATTTGAGATTGTTGAATGCAAGGGCAATACTTATATTATTTTAAAGTTTAAAATCAGTATCCATTAACCATTTCTCTAAGTTTTTACGTAGCCATTTAAGAAGTCAGTACAGCGGTATTTATGACCTATGGGAATCCCTTCTTCCTTGTTATTCAGGGTTACTTAAGGCTGTGGTCTCCAAGTGTGTTCTGGGACTAAATGACAACTTCTTCCCAACCGGGGAAGCCTGTGGTGGGGAAAAGGCTTGGTGGAAGATCTGGTTTGTAGTTAATGTTAAGTAACCTTTCCACTTAATTAGCTTTGTGATCTCGTGCAAGACAAAACCTCTCTAAGCTATAATTTTCTCATCCATAAAATTATACCAAAAATAACACTCTGTTTATCTCACCAAGTTGTGAAGATTATAGAGAGTGATGTGAAAATGGCTTGTAAATGCTGAAGCATGATGTAAAAGGTTAGTTGTTGGTATTATAAAAGCCCAATATATGTTCTCCTCTTGTGAAATTCTTAAAGCACAATTCTCTGATTTCACAGATACATCATCTCATGCAATACAGATAATTTTTTTTTTGTACCGTATGGGCTTAGTGTCTAGAAAAAGTGAAGGGTATGAAAGAATGAAGAACGAAGTTCCAGTGAGAGTCTATTTCTTTATAGATTGCTCCTGCCTGTCCCCTCCTCAACACTAGAAACTGGTATAGCACTGTAGTTAATACTGGTTTTTGTTTTTGTGCATGTGTGTTTTTTAGACAAGGTCTCATTCTGCCACCCAGGTTGAAGTGCGGTGGTGCCATCTCGGCTCACTGCAGCTTTGACCTCCTGGGCTCAAGTGATCCTCCCTGCTCAGCTTCCTGAGTAGTTAGAACTACAGGCATGCACCACCAGGCCTGGCTAATTTTTGTATTTTTTGTAAAGATGGGTCTCACTATATTCCCCAGGCTGGTCTCAAACTCCTGGGCTCAAGTGACCCTCCCACCTCGGGCTCTCAAAGTGCTAGGATAACAGGGATGAGCCACCTCACCCTGCCAACAATAACTCTGGACTTTTATTTGAGCTTTGCTGCTTATCATCAAATCTCAAGGAAAATATTAGTTACTCAGAAGTCATCTTACTTGTAAATCTAGAATTGGTGTGGTGGCTCAGGATTTCTGAGTCTGGGCTAGGACCAGAGCCAGCTACTCCTGGCACCTACATTGTTGGGAAACTAATGATCTTCACTGAGACTCTGTTCTCCTTCCATAATGTACATTATCCAAATGGTCTCTTGTGGGTGGATTCCAGTAAAAATTGTCTGATGAGCTGCCTACCAGAAAACTGTGATGTTGACAAGCTCCAGAGAGTAGACCAAGATCTGAGGGCAGCATGGTCAGAATGGCAGGGGCTGACACTGAGGGCACCTGGGCTCCAGAATCAACTCTACGACTTCACTACGTTTCCTCATCAGTTTCCTCATCAGTAAAAAGAGGGAGTTAGACGAGAATCTGGTCACTAGCTGGTCTTCTAGGTCTCTCCCCACAGTTAAGATCCTATAATTCTGCAGATCAGTTTATGACCTGCAAGGGCATTCTTTCCTGAGGGTTTGAATGGCAGAGCAAGTGGAAATTAGGGGAATGTCCTTCCCAACCTCCCACCCTGGGCAGGAGAGGAAGTGCCATCCAGGAGGGCCTTAGCTGGACCATAGGGAGAAGTGAGGATTCCACTCTGTGACATCATAATATCCAGCCCAGGTTTGTCCTTGGCAACCAGGAAGGAGAATAGCAGGAGGTGCAGTTACTATTAATAGCCGAGGTGGGACGCTACTGGAGGGAGCCATAAGGGATCAGCCAGACATGCCACCAGTTCAGGTACGTGGTATTGCTAAGCTCAGAACAGGACTTGCCGGTGCCTAAAGGAAAAAGAGGAGAGACCTCAAGGTGAGTGTGTCACCAAGCTTAGGAAGAACAGTATAAGCACAGACAGCATGTGCCCCAGCTGCATTAGGGTAATGTTACATTCCACATGAGCAGAAGCAGAGCTGGGCACATCTTGCCAACAGCCAGGCTGCTTTTTATGAAGCCGGACCATGAGGACATTTCCGAGGCTGTAGTCCACATGTGTTGCTGGTGATATACTTCTATTCAGAGGGTTTTTCTTCCAATAGCTTCTCCCTGGAATGACAGGGAAGAGTAAACAAAGGTAAATTAACTGAAGGAAGTATTTTAATAGAAGCCAGTACAAAAACAAACAAAAGTAATAAATGCAAAAAGTTGTATTATGGGTTAGCAACCAGGATTGATTCTAACGTCAAGTTTTGAAAGTTCAGGTCTTGAAAGGCAGAAGGCCACCCCTATAAACAATAAAAGAGAAGGACCTTTTGGTTGAGAAGTAAGTAAAACAGTTCTGCTGGAACCATATACCCCATGCTGCCCCCAGCAACTCCTGCCAGTGAAATCATTGCTGGGGATGCGGACAGTTCTGTTTTCTTTACCTTGCCTTGGGGTTTTGGCTTCTACAATACTTGTTTCTTCCTGGCGTCTTGGGGCCCTGAGAGGCTCTGAGTGACGGCAAAGAACTGTTTACCAGTGGGGCGGAGCACGGGGCCGGCACCAGGCCCTGACTCATCCCCATGTGGACTCCCTTGGGTCTTAGCACACTGCCACCCCAGAGTCAGGGCACAGGACAGCTCAGGCAGGCACACTGAGCTCTGCCTGCAAGATCAGAGTTGATGATGCTCCCTCACTGGGAGCACCAGTCCATGTTCTGACAGGTCCATGTTCTGTCAGTTACCCACATGGGACCCCAACAACCGTCAACAAGAGGAGGAGATGGAATCTCTATCCACAGGACACAATTCTAACTCTCATTGGCTCCAACACATCACAAATAAATACATCACAGCAGCGAGGCCAATACTCTCACACTCTGTGAAAGTAGTAATAGCCCTCAAAGCATGTAAAACTGAGAGACCCACATAAAAACAAAATACACTTGCACATTAACTTTATAACACACATTCAACTTCTGTCTACAGAAGTCACTGTGGTTTTCACAATTGGGTTATGATCTAATCATAACCACTTAAGACCTTGAACATTAAAGTCTCATTGGTCCAGTTTTTAGGTTTTGTTTACTGATAGCCATTGAAAACTAAGTTTAAGCTGAACCTCAAATAATACGCACAAAACACAGAGTGTCTTAACTCATCTCCACTTGCATTTATTGACTGTAACGTTCCCTGACCCTTGTGTTAGTCACATGCTGCTGCATCTGTCACATACTGGAGAATTTTAGAGTTGGATGGGAACTAGAAGATCATCCATTCCACAGCTTCATTTCCAGAAGAAGAAACCATACAGAGAAGTTAAGTGTCTTGGCTAAGGTTGATAGCACTGGGGACTAAATTTAAGCCCCCTCACTCTTAGCCTGGTGTCCTCTCCAATACACTCTGCCCCACAATGAATGAATGTATTCGTTCATATTTGAATTAAGAATATTCTAAAAGGAGGAAATATTTTATCACCTTGGTGTGGTTATTAATAAAAGCAGATATTATCTTATTTTGTATGCAGCTGCATGCAAAATAATCTTTGGTCAAGGACAAGTGAAAGTACCGAAGACCCCGCCCAAAAGACTGAGATAGCAGTGAAAATAAATCCAGGGAAATTGACCATCTGCTGTACATTGAGGGCTGATTAGAAGTAATCTTTTTTTTCTTAAAAAATTTTATATAATTTATCAGATTTTTACTTGATAAAAAATATACAGTCTTCCTGGAGCCTTGTCTTTTCCAGTTTGGGTAGATAATACCTTGGTTATGAATGTGTGTGTGTACACCTTTGAATGTACAGATGAGTAAACACTTTATCTGGCAGGTGTGGGGCTGGCTATTATACCCATCCATGGTAACAAACCTACCTTTATTACTTAATACATCTTCTATATGAGCCTTTTCTGACTTATCCCATGAATAAGGGATAATATTCTATTTGGAATTAACGTGAGAATTAAGAATCCTCCTTAGACTTGTGCAGGGTTTGTTATATGTGAAACCATACATATTATGCCTTGCATCCCTAGTTAATGTGCAAGTTGAGCCCAGGCAGTCCCTGTGTGCAGGTACTCAGGGTTTTTCCAATTAAATTTATTTCAAATGTATTAATATCATCCCAAAGATCCAAATTCTAAAAGAAAAGGAAATGAAGAATTTAAAAAATATAAATAGAGACCTAATTTTTATAGTCATCAACTCCATCATTAGCCTTAGAAAGATCTGATAAGTATTTTCTAGGCCATTAGATTGATTTTTTTGCCAACTGAGGAGTGTGCTTCTTGTAAGGATTTTCCATATGTTTCTGATTTTGCATGCAGATTGTCTTTAATAAAAGAGAATTATGAAAAAATTGCCAACAAGAAAGAGCATAAGAAAGAGCATTCCATCATGGCATAGGCTTTAAACAGTGCTGTTGTAATACCTTTCAGCTTCCATATTAATTTTAAAAGTTGTGTAATGTATTGAGTAATTTTGCACACACTGCAGTGTATTACTACAGGAGAAAGATAATTGTGAAAAACAGAGGGATAAAAGGAGTTTTAGTTTCAGAATTCTTCACTGTGGTTTTGAAGTTTCAAATCTCTCCAGTAAAATGAAATCCAGGTAGGCCAAGTAAACTTCTGAAATATTTTCTCTTGAATTATCAGAGAAAATGTAGCCTTGACAAATCTTATTTAAGAGGCTTGGAAGGAAAAAAGCAAAAGGAAGCTACCTCTTCGAAGATCCTGAGAAAACAGTCTCCTCTTGCTGCTGTCCCCTGAGGCGCCTTGGCAGGTGGCCACGCTGGATCTCCGACACGCGCAGGACACTGCCTGTCATTCCAGCCCAGCCCCATGCCCACCCTCCCAAGAATTGTGCAACAGGGCCTTTGTAACCTGAGGCCCATGAAGTCTTTGAAGGAATGTGACACAGAGCCAAGGGGCGTTGGTGCCACCAGGGCTGAGAAGGAGCTCTCCTGCTGTTTACGCTGCTATCCCGTGGGAACCTCAGAAGGGGGAAGGTATGCTCTAAAATGCACGGGGAGTCAAGTACTTGGCACAGCTGTAAAGCAAGTACTCTAGTGTCTTTACTTGGCACAGCTGTAAAGCAAGTACTCTAGTGTCTTTTCCCCTCATCTTTGCTGACCTCCGGAGGCATGCTTCATGCTGCTCTAGAGAGTAGAACTCGCTGTGCTCTAATTTTTATTGTATTTGTATAAATTTATGGGATACAAGTGCAATTTTTAAAGATGCATAGATTGTGCAGTGGTCAAGTTCGAGCTTTTAGGATATCTATCACCTGATCCACTCATCCTCCTTTCAAGCCACTCCTCCTCCTATTCTTAACTGTGTCTCCTACTGAAAGCTACAAGTTATGGTCCCATTATTCCACTGCCCTATAAGCATCCTGGGGAGCGGCATCCATATTAAAGAATGACATAGATGGTGGAGTGCCAGGCACTGGTGTCAGGACAGCCCCTGAAATCTTTGGGATTCATCAATCTACAAAATGAGCTTCCTACCTCCTCTCCTCACTTCTCCCATAGACATCTTCCTCCAATATGACAAGTACACAATCTGGCCACTGTAATACTTGGGGTTTTCCCATCTCTTCTGCCTGGGGAAAATGTCACGAGCTGAGTCGTGCATACCCTCCTTTTAAGTTGCTGGAACATCATGATGGCCACACAAATGGAGCTCTAACCAATAGGAATTGAAAGATTCACTCTCAGTCTTGCCATCTGAATGCTGCAGAGTGCTATGGCGTGTAATTCACTATGAATGACAAGGTCCATATTTTATATTACCAGTATTATTGATCACAAAAGGTGGCCTCAGGAAAACAGACATTTTAGCCAGTGGAGAAGACAACTTACTTGGCAACTAGAAGACCAATATTCTCGTCCTTTCAAGTATATTTAGAATGCAAAATCATTATTATTACAAGAGAGGGAAAGCCTTTTTTTTTTCTTTTTTTCTTTTTGTTTTTAAGACGGAGTCTTGCTCTGTCACCCAGGCTGGAGTGCAGTGGTGCCATCTTGGCTTATTGCAACCTCTGCCTCCTGGGTTCAAGTGATTCTCCTGACTCAGCCTCCTGAGTAGCCGATATTGCAGGCGCATGCCACCACACCTAGCTAATTTTTGTAGAGACGGGGTTTTACCATGTTAGGCTGGTCTTGAACTCTTGACCTTGTGATTCACCCACCTCAGCTTCCCAAAGTGCTGGGATTACAGGCGTGAGCCACTGTGCCTGGCCTGGGAAGCCTTTGTTAATGTTAGGATAGGTTCCTCTACATGGTAGGAACTGATGCTATCTCTCTCCCCTCATCAACCTCTCATGGTATTAGAGGAGATACCTCTCATACCATGTCCTTTCAAGGAGGTTGTTTTCCACTCTCCTTTCTACACCAAATAAATTCAATGAGTTTCAATCCAGTTTGTATTGTTGAAAACTTGATATGCACTTGGGACTTTACTAGGCACGCTGACAACTGCAAAATAAAATGTTTGACGTAAATTGGGCTCTTTAAGAGTTAAGAATTTAGTTAAGGAGACAAGATGCACACCTGCAAACAGTTCAAAAGCAAAGAAGAAACTACATAACTATGTGAAAAATGTGCGCGCTGTGAACTTCAAAGTGCCCCAGGGGCTCCGAGCGAAGAAGCAGTGTTGTCCTCAGTGTTCAGGTTGCTCATGAGGGCAGGTCAATGCTGGGACTTGGGAGGGATCTTGAAAGGAAGAGAAACAGAATATGACTGCTTGACACAAACTTAGGGAGCAAAACAATTTCCTAGTGAAAATTTTGGCCCTGGCACAACCACTCTTCTCCCACTCATCGGCACTCAGGTCCACTCTCCCTGCGCTTTGACAATTCGTTCTTGGTGTGCAAAGCAAACAATTCACATTACTTCATTGGGATATGAAAAAAGGAGTCATGGAAACATAAGGACACCAGGAAGGATAAAACAAACTCTAACAGGTGGTTTCTGTGAACAGCTCTGCACGCTGAAACCAGGGCTGTGTCTGATTTTAATTGTGCATGTGGGCTTCTAGAGCCTACACCCTAAAGTCAACATGTTCTAAAGCTAATCAGTATCTTCCCCAAACTTGCTCCTGCTTTGGATTCCCACCTCAGTCAATGGGCCTTGCCATATTCTCAGTTTCTCTGGCAAGGATCTCAAGTCCCCTCTGATTCCTGGGTCACTCTCTCCGCTGCATTCAGTGATTGAGCATTGAGCCTAGGGGGTTAGATCTCCACATCTTTTCCGAATCCACCGCCTCGGTCAGTTCTGCCTGCTGCTACCCTGGTCTGAGCCCCATCTCCTAATCTTCCTCTAAGGTCACTCACCTCGACAACCCCGTTCCTCTGCACTCGTTGGCCACACCTTTTTAAAATAGAAACTGGCACTACCCAGCTTCAAGTTTTTCCCGTTGTTTATAAAATGAGGACTAAACTCCTTTGCCTGGTTTTCAAGGCCTCTCCCTTGTCTAGCTTTACTGACCTAGCCTCTCCCCTTGGCTACTCATTCACCCACTCTTCCCCAGCTCTTATACACCAGGTGGATCTGTCTGCCTTCAATTTTCCAGCTTGCCCAGTACTTTTCTTGCCTACATGGTCTTGCTCATGCAATTTTTTCAGCTTTTCTGATAGTTGAACTCCTCATGTGGCCTCCTCCAGGGTTCCTGCTTCACAGGGGCCACAGCTTTCTTCTGTCTGTTTCCTACCTCCATCATTTGTGACATTCTCCTGACATTTAAAAAATGTTGACTCTTTGTGCTGAAGGAGTGAGCCAGGTCGGATTGGGAGACCAGGGTGAAGGGAGTAGAAGAATGTCTTCAGACAGGGAACAGCATGTGTAAAGACTCAGAGGACAGAGAGAACGGTGTGTTCATGGAGATAAACAGTGTACTGTAATTAGTAGAAACGGTTTGAGTGGATAGGAAGGCGTTGGGAAGAGATGGTACTGAAGGAAGAGGCAGAGGCAAGTCCAAGGGGCTGGCCCTGCTAAGAGGCTGGACTAGCTAAAGATCAATGGGCAAGTTTGAAGAGTTATCAGCAGGGTAGTAATGGTATAACATTCGCATTTTAAAGGAATATAGTGTCTGGGGACCAGAGAAAGACTGGAGAAAGAACTGTCAGTTAGGAGGCGGGCAGGGTAGTGACCAAGTTCACTACCTCTATTCAAGAAACAGAGGGAGAGAGTGGACTTGAGAGAGCTTTCAAAAGGAGACGTGATGAGGCCTGATTAACTGATCAGGCATGGTTTAAATGGAGAGGGTGAGTGAAGGGAGACATCTGGGTTTCTGGCAGGGCCCAGAAATGATACCGTCCATGGCAATGGCACAGCATCACTTCCTGCTGATGCCCTCTAAAAAGACTGGATCTCTCTCCCTTCTCAGAGATGAAATGTTTGATAGCAGGGGTGGTTGAGAGCTCCTTGGACATTTGCTTTGTAGAAGGCACTTCCAGCTGATATGGGGCCTGGATCTCATTTATTTGTTATAGTCTCCAGAGCAACTGTTATTCAATAAACCTTGGTGAATAAACAGCTGAGCCTATAAATACTGTTCCTGGTAGTCTTCCTGCTATGTTTTCTAAGAAATGTTGGGTATTTTATCCTTTATTACCCTTCATAGTATAAATGTAATGGAGCCTGTCTTCCTCTCCAACTCAGATTTCGGTTGAAAGTCTTCATTAGGAGGTGAGTCTTCTGCCAGCCAGGTTATTTGATAGCCTTGGTAGTCTTCATGATGCTTCTTGATGGCTATTGATGTCTGGTAGCTCAGAGTAATCGCCAGAAGATCAGCTGTGTCCTCTGACACCATCTCGGGCCAACAGTCCACCTCCTACATCTTCCTTTCTCTTCAAAGTCATGGCCTGTACAAGGCCATAATAAAAACCTCTGGAGACCTATGTCCTTTATTCCTACCTAGAACTTTAAAGGAACTAAACATACCATTTCTACTGACTGCATTTTTTCTTATGAATCACTTCAAGGCATAATCGTGTTGTCGGAAATTAGCTCATCTCCAGAATCATGGGCCACGAAGGACTTGCTCTGTCCCTCCCCTGCCACCACTGCCCGCTTCCTCTGCTGGTAAGCCCAGCTGCTAGAGTGAGGAGGTCTCCTTCTCTTCCTCCTTCACCTGTAGTCTGTGCTTTTGTGGCATGTACTTTCTTCTTCTTTTCTTTTTCTTCTTTTTTTTTTTTTTTTTTGAGACAGTCTCACTCTGTCGCCAAGGCTGGATTGCAGTGTCACGATCTCTGTTCACTGCAACCTCTGCCTCCCAGGTTCAAGAGATTCTCATGCTTCAGCTCCTGAGTAGCTGGGATTACAGGAGCCTGCCACCATGCCAGGCTAGTTTTTGTATTTTTAGTAGAGACAGGGTTTCACCATGTTGGCCAGGCTGGTCTCAAACTCCTGACCTCAAGTGATCTGCCCACCTCAGCCACCCAAAGTGCTGGGATTACAGGCATGAGTCTTTCCTTATTGACATCTTGAGGCTGTTCACAGTGCCCTGAATCTTGTAGTGAAGGCTTTCTTTTGGGCCCATGCTCATGGGAGTCCCTCACCACCTCTGTAAGCTGCAGAAGCAATCATTGAGCACTTCCTTCACCCTCTTTAGCAGACAGTCAGGTTTGCATATCAGTGATTTCATCATAACTAAGGATTGGTAAAATCATAGTACAATTAATATAATTCTTAAATTTTAGAGAGCTATATAAATAGAAGGTAGTTACTGATATAAATTTAAAATGTTTTTCCCAGAGTTTAAGGAATGATATTGCCACAACTGATACACACATATGTTATTATAAATGCTCATTTTAGAAGATCAAATGTACCTTCTGAACAGCACACAAATAGTAAGTGCATTTAGGTCATTATTGGCATTTCCTCCTACCTCTTAAACAGTATAATTTCAATCCGCTTTACATTTGGAAGTCGTTTCTTGCTTAGTTTTGAAATAACAGAAATAGCAATCATTAAAAGTGATCTTTTTTTTAAAGCACCTACTG